TTTGGGTTCATCAGGCGTTGTTTCTTGGCTGCTGCTGCTGCTTTTAAGGCCCTTTTTTGCTTCTTTAGCTTTTGAGCCTCCTGGTAAACCCGAATGCACAAGGCCTTCTTGGTCACCCAGCGGCGGTGGGCTTTTCGGTGGTACATGGGGGGGAAGATGTACTCAATCCCCAGGTCCTTGCACGTCTTCTCAAAGACACTGTAGTTGGTCTTACGGAGGTTTTTGAGCATCTTTTGCCTCTGGTCAATGCTCATCATCAGATAGCGCTTGAGAGCTTTGTCCTTTCGATGTTTCTGCATGTGTTCTTCATAATTGCGGATCTTGACAGTCAAGGCAACAATTCGAGCTTCCAGGGATCTGGTGTCCTCAGGGTTTGCCACAACCTTGTTCATCAATTGTTCTTTCTTGATTTTTAGCTTCTCCTTCTGATTCCCCATTTCCAAAGACAAGAGTCTTTTCACGACATCATCAACCTTCTCAATTCCAGGGACGTCCTGGTAATCTTTGAGGAGCGTGGAAGGGGGCGGGTCATCTTCTTGGCTGGGGCGGACTGGTCTCTGGATGGCATAGCCGCGGGCGGCCGGGAGGAGACCTGTGCAGAAAAGAGAGGCTGAGGCCATCGCCTTAACCCCTTCCCCAACAATTTTTTTGTTAAAAACGTTTCTTTTTCAGACTAATTTTTTTATTTTGGTTCTATATAGTATTTTTGATGCTGGTTATGAAAACAGTTTGTAACTCGTCTTCCTATAAACCATATTTTTTTACCATATTTTCTAAGTATACTCGTCGACGACTGAAAAAGAACATTTTGTGAAAACGAGTATACACGTTTCTGCCGGGGAATTAATAGTCCAGCCTCGATTCCTTCCTACGGCCCTTCCTCCAAGGTGCCTGCACCCCTGCGCCTACACGCCGTCCATGGCTCCTGCACCAAATATTTTTGAGCATTAATGGAAACACTGACATAGACACTGAGATTAAAAGAAAGCTGTTAAATGTGAACCCAGAACTTGGAGGATTTATAATTAAGTTGGGGACATAAGTCATGTCTTACTGAGTCTTCTAAATAGCTTCTTTCTTTATTAAACTAGTATGTATTCAGTGATCAGTACTGCTGCACTCTCTCATAGATGTGCCACATTAAACTCCTGCAAACAAAGTTTCCAACATATCACCAACTATAAAACTTTGCAACAGAAAAAAAATTTGTCATTGAAGGGCCTTCAAAACCTGGTTCTCAGGAAACCTGTGTTAATGCGTTACCGTATTTTTGCTGATATTTTTCCTTCTACGGGGTGCTTATCATTGTTTGTAGCTTATCAACATTTCAAGACCAGTTTCCTTAAAAAGAACTACCTTAAAGGTTTGTTGGTTAGAAGTCCTAGAGGGGTTTAACTGGGCAAATATAAAAGTATTGACAGGGTTGTTTACCTTTCTCGAGGTCTTGAGGGATAATTCATTTCCTTGCCACTTTCAGCTTTTAGAGGCCATCAACATTCATTGGCCCAGGGCTCTCTTTCTCCATCTTTTAAGTTAGCAACATTGCATCTCTCTACCCTTCTTCCATAATCACATTATCCCTCTGACCACAGCAGGATTTTTTAAAAAGTTTTCTACTTTTAAGGATCCATGCAATTAGGTTGGGTCTAATAAAATATATTTTTATTGGTTTCAGAGAGAGAGGGAGAGGGAAATGGAGAGAGAAACATTAATGATAAGAGAGAAATATTGATCAGGTGTCTGCAAGCTCCACACTAGGGATCGAGCCCCAAACCCGGGCATTTGCCCGATGGCCAATCAAACCATGACCTCTTGGTTCATAAGTCAATGCTCAACCTCTGAGCCATGCCAGCGGGGCGTTAGGCAATTATTTTTATACTTAGGAGAAGCACAACTATTTAGGAATAAGTCTATAGCTCAAGTATGTATTTTTATAAACATATATGATATATAACATATATTGTATATGTATCGCAGATAACCAAATGTGGCAAAATATTAACAACAGTTGAATCTAGATGGAGAGTTATGGTTATTTGTGTCCTGTTCTTTCAATTCTCTGTAGGTTTAAATTTATTTTTAAAAGAGAAAACAAAGGTGCTATTGAATACCTTCAGTTCCCAGATGGTCCAGGACACATCTGATTTGAAAGTGATTTCAGAGAAAAGAAAGTGGGGACAATTTGAAAATTGGTTTGCTCATTAAATATCTACAGAGAGACCAACTAGAATAAGAATAAAGCTGTAATAGGTTAAAAAGCAACAGTCATTCATATTTTCTGGGAGGCGTGTTTGGTAGTTTGTAGGTGATTCAGTGACCTTGTTTTTGTCTGCTTAAGTAAAATTCTAAAGTGGCCTTGTTTGTCTCAGAATGAACTTGTCTGATGTTGACAGGCTGTAGGAATCCTTATGTTTGACAGGACAGCAACAAGGCCAACCCGTGAGCACCAGGCCAGCTTCTGACAACAGTGTCCTAGCTGTCAATGTCAGACCAGTATTAATCTGCTTTACTTCATTCTCAATTATTTTTTAAAGTCAGTGCTCAAAATAGAGTAATGAGTGAGTTAATTTTAAGTCCGGTGGTAAATTTGCAGAATATAGTCATTAAAATGATAACTGGGCCTAGGATAAATATTTTAAGGAAAGTGAATATTATTCACACTCATGCATTCATTTGCCAAATATATTGAATGTCTAGTACATGGAGAGCACTCTGAGTCACCCTAAGGGAATATAAACATGAATAAGAGATAGTAATTATCTTTAAAAAACTTATACTTTGCTCATGTTTATGATAGATATGTCCAAGTTAGACCATTTATTGTAAATAAGGAATAACTCGCAGCATATTTACTACCTAAAGCTTTGTTTAAAGCTGAATTCTAAATAATCACATATTATAACAATATTGTCAGGAAAGCTTTATGGAAAAAAATTAAGTATCAGAGTATATAAAATAATATATATATATATATATATATATTCAAATACTTATCTCCCATAGACTCTTATCAAGGCTGCTATTCACTGAGCTGTCAATAGAAATAAATATATGGCTGAATTTAACCAGAGAAATGAGTGTTAAATAATATATTACTAATATCTGCTCCCCATAAGGATTACCCAGCCACATAGCCGTTAGCAATGCTATACATTCACATTGATAGATGGATGATATAAAACCAGAATTGTGCCATGTAATCTTGGATATCTGCATACAAATTAAATATTGTAAATTTTTCCTCATTGAGTCACAGCACAATGTGATCGTCAGAAGTACTATTCATATTGCTATTGTCCTTAACCTTTTATAGTCAATAAATACAACCCCCTGAAAGGAAACATTTCCCAGGAGAAAGCACACAATTTAAATGTGTTCTTCAATTTTTTTTAATTTCAGTGATATTCAATATTATGTTAGTGTCAGTAGTACAGCATAGGGGTTAGACATTTATATAAGTTATGAAGTGATCTCCCGGATAAGTCTAGTACCCCCAAAACCATACATATTTTTTACTATAGTCCCTACGCCATACTTAACACCCTGTAACTGCCTATTGGTACTTCTTAATCCCTTCATATCTTTCACTAAGCCCCCCAAACCCCTCCCACCTGCCAACTATCAATTTGTTCTGTGTATCTATAACATAGTCCATTCATGTTCTCACGAAAGGCAAGATTTCACTCTTTTTCTGGTTGAGTAGTATTCCATTGTATATATGTACCACATCTTCTTTATCCATTTGTCTATCAATGAACATCTAGGTTGCTTCCATATCTTGGCTATTGTGAATGATGCTGCAGTGAACATAGGGTTGTATATGTCTTTTTGAATTAGTGTTTTGGGTTTCTTTGGATAAATACCCAGAAATGAAATTGCTGGGTTCTTCTTTGTTTCTTATTAATAGCCATTGTTTTAAAGTCTATTTTGTCTGGTATAAGTATTACTACCCCAGCTTTTTTCTTTATTTGTTTCTATTTGGCTGAAATATCTTTTTCCATCCCGTTGCTTTTCAGCCTACGTGTGAGTCTGATGATCTGAATTTGAGGCACTGTTTTTCTAAAGTGTTTGGCTACAGTAGAATTTATTGTGAAAAATGTTTTCTCTAGTTAAGCTGCTGATTTCTTGGTTGTTTGGCTAGAGAGAACAGGCTTTGGTTGTGGTTATTTCTGTCTGCTCCTCTTTGTATCTCCAGGTTACCACTTTTCCAGCATCCAGTCTGAGATATATGAGGCAAAAGTAACACTCAGAGAATTTAACATCGTGGTTTTTCCTGTAGCCTCAAGATATTTAGTTGGCCTTCCTTCCTCTCACCACCTTTGAGTCTTGTTATTTTTGTTGTACATACAATGTCCAGGAAGGAGTCTTAGTTGTAATTAGTGGAAGGAATATGAAAAAGTACATCTAGTCCATTTTCCTGGGAATGTAAATCCAAAGATAAATTTATTTTTCTATTCAAATTTGTAATTTTTATTATAAATTTTGTCAGTGAGGACAGACTATTTGATGGAAGTTTCATATGCCCTTCAGCATCCAATTTATTTTAGTAGTTTTTAAATATTTATTTATTTATTTGTTTGTTTGTTTGTTTATTTATTTTTATAGCACTGTATTGGAAAAATTCTGCTTGACACAAATAGCAGTTACCATAATATCCTTTTTTATTTTGCCTGACTCATAGACCACATCTCACCCACTGCCTATTTTGATAGGCAAAGATGTATTAGATCACACTCACATCTATGTTATTAATATAGTGTGTGGCTATTTTTGCAGTACGATGACAGGTTGAGTAGTCGTGACAGAAGCTTTATGATGCATGACACTGAAAATATTTATTAATTGCACTTTAAAGAAAAAGTGTGCCCGGCCAGTGTGGTTCAGTGGTTGAGCACCAACCCATGAACCAAGAGTCCAGGTCAGGGCACATACTGGGTTATGGGCTGGATTCCCCAGTAGGGGGCATGCAGGAGGCAGCCCTGCAATGTTTCTCTCTCATCAATGTCTCTATCTCGCTATCCCTCTCCCTTCCTCTCTCTCTCTAAAATAAATAAAAACATTTTTTAAAAAAGTTCCCCAACCCTATTTATTTCTTTATTTACTTAATTTAAAAATTGGCACTTTATATGTAATGGAACTGTTTCAGCTACTTCTTTTTTTTTTTCCCCCCCTCTGCCATTCTGGGCATTAACCACACCTATTTTAAGTGTTTTACTTTACTTTCTCATAATACTAGTATGTAATTACAATCCAGAAGTTAAGATGAGGAAAAGTAGAATAATTTATTTCAAAGATGAATTACCCACTAGATTTAATAATTCATTATTTTAGTCAATAAGTGAATTCTTTGTCATTTTTTTCCGTAATCTGATACATTCAATATTGTCAAAGAAAAAAGTAAATGTCTCAGTTGAAAAGATAAAATTTCCCATAAGGTCATTTATTAAGACGCTTGAGTCGAACATATTAAATTTGTTTAACTGATTATACTTTATAATCTCCGTTGCAGCACTGTAGTATTCAGACTTTGCATTACCCAATGGAATTTTACTGAGCTACCTGCAAATGAGTGCAACTATGCCATAGGTGAGAAATATGCTAACAATGAAGGGAGAAAGTCATGGGAATAACTGTTTTTCCCCTTAAGACTATACAGTAAATTTGAGGAGTAGGTAGGAAATTGTCATGGCTAGAACAAGAGTAAAGAGTGAAGACATTGATAGGAGATGAGTTTAGACGGTTGGCCATGGGCCAGTATGTGTCGGACCTCATGTCCCTTGGTAAAACTTGAGATTGCACTCTGAATAAACTGAGCAGCCACTGGAAGTTTTGAGGCAGAGGAATTACATGATTGAATTGAATGGTTGAAAGGAACACCTTAGCCAATATGTGGAGACTGGGCATAAGGTAGTAATAAAAGAGGGAT